CCCTCATACTTGAGGTGAAGTCCTGTCTGTCCTCTTGTATTGTGGTGAGAACTCTATATGAGATCTACCTTTGGCACAAACCAAATACACATCCTGCTTGATAACCCCAGGTGCAGTGATGGTCAAATGAGCTCTAGAACCTAACTACCTACATCATAGGATGCTTCTTCCCTGGAAAGGCAGCTCCCCATGCTCCCCCACCTGCTCTGGGCAACCACCATGCTGTCTTTTTCTGGTGCTTCTGGACTGTCTGCATTTCCAGTGTATGAGGAACCATTTGTTGTTTGCTCAACTGTGCTCATTTTGCTCAGCATGACGTCCTCAAGGTAGATATATGTAGTTGCTTAGAACAGGATTTCCTTTGAATTATTGTAATGATACTGTAATTTTTTTAAAAAGTGAGCAGCAACCCGTGTTCATTTGAAATCACAAAGAAATGTTATTGTGATGCACAGATAAGGAAGAATCCTTAATTCTTATTTGACTGGTTTGAAGGCATGGGTTGTTTGTGAGAAATGGAGGCATGCAGGTACAGGCATAATAAGGAGGAACTTCTATCATAGCAGTTAAGCTATGTTAGTCTTCACCTCCATACGGTAATAAAAATTCAGAAGGTTGTCTGTAACTTTCAGTCCTGTAGTCAGCTTACCTCTTACTGTTTTCGGTGCAGACAGTTGTGTGAAATGCAGTGTTGGGGACCAGTGTGAACGTGAATGTGCTGAGTCCACACCATACAAAGGTTGGACAAGGAAGGTGTGCCAAGTGATTTGTCAGGAATGGCTGCTCCAACTCTATTTTAACATGGCTTCTCTCCTGTCAAATTTTCATAGTAAGAACGCTTCACATGTGGTGTGTCCACCACAAATCCCTGGCAGTAAAAAAAACCCTGTGACTCATTCCATGTTTGAGCTCAACTGCAGACCCCCAGCTGTGATTCCACCTCATGATGGTAACTTCCAGCCAGGAAACACCTTCTCCCAAGTTCCTTCTACAATTCTGCAAGAACCACCCTGCTTCTTGTGTTCATGAGCTCTACTGACTCAGAAACCTCACTTCCTTGGGTCACACGGTGCTGAACTTTGCTGATGGCTTAGTGCACATATTAGTGGCATACATTTACTCAAATGATAGAGATTTATGTGATTTATCAGATTAATGTGAATACTTCCTTGGAAATGGCATTTACTTAATGCAGTTACCAAGTGTGAAAACACAACAGCATCTACAGAGAGGGTAAACTTGCAGTGCTTGAACTGACTTTCAGATATGCTTCAGGTGGCACACATACCTGAAACATCCTGGAGAAATCCAGCACTGTTCCAAGGTCCTGTGAAAAATGCAGACTTTCTCAGCACACACAGTGAAAACCAAAACTGATGCCCGTGTCAGTCCCTGGAACTAAGGGATAATTCATTGCCTGGTGGGCTGCTGCACTTGGAGGATGCAGAGTCCGCACAGGGAGCATCACCATAGTTCTTTGATTGCCAGGCCTAGAGAAGGTATCCTTTGAAAAGGAGTTTGAGTACAACCAGGGGTGTCAGAATTCTACTCCTGATGCCTTGACCAGTGTGGAAAAGTCCATGAGGGTTTAATCAGGAACCCAGGTGCAGAAGGAGTTGGTGATTCCTCTAGGGACTGAGAGGTGCAGATGTGAGTCACTGAGCAGTGAGTTTTTCTTTATGTGGGATGAGGAGTCTGAGGTCCATGGGGTATATGATCAGATGGGAAGATAACCATGTGGATGGAGCACCAAGAATAGACAAAAGAAAAGAAAACAACAACAACAACAAAACCTTGGGTGTCTCACATAGAGATGGCCTCAGCTCAAAAGACACATCATGCAATCTGGAATCTATTGGGTGTACTTCCCAAGTGATAAGTACAACAGAGCAGGGAAACTTGGAGTGCATTTTCATGAAAACCAACAAAGTGAGTGTTTGTCATTAATTAAGCAGTAGAAGTGCAGTGGGATTAGGACCTCAGGCAGGAAAACCCAGGTGAGACCTTCTCCCAGAGCAATCTGAGGACATCAGAGACCTCCAAACCTCCTAAGAACTTCAGGGCTCAGGGGTGTTTGCTGTGTAAGTGCATCTGACAGGTACAGGAAAAGGGCTTCCTGGTGGCTTCACAGAGCCCTGGCTATGAGGTTCCCTACAGAGTTACTGGGGCTTGGTAAGGTCAGTACTTTTTTGTCAAGAAAATTAAAGCACACAGTACCCCTGAGGAAGTTTCTGGAAGTCAGGGCACAACACTGAATTCTGGACTACAGATGCTAAGATGTTTATGCTTTTTCAGACTCAACAGCAACTGCCCCAGCATGATGCAAACCTGTCATCAAGGAGTGGGAAGTACCCAGGACCTGGGGTCAGCTGTCCCAGGAGCAGTTGTGGGGAGAGCTGGGAAGGACTTTCCTGAGAGTACCTGTGTCTTTTTCTTTTTGCGAAAGCCTCTAAAAGGACATTTGGACATGTGGTAACTGTAAATGTCCTATCCTATCACAGTATTCACTGCACTCCATAGTACATGAGAACCAGAGTCTGGTATTTCTAGGGCTTCTTTATCTTTGAATTGTAAGGTACTAAGGACAGGGATGGTTTTATTAACTGGGTAGGTGGAGAATTTTGGAGACACACTGATCCAGGAAGAAGACATTCAGACATTAAAGCCTAGAATTGGTCCAGAAGGTCTCTATGTCCTTCACCCACATTATTCAAATGTGGGTGGATAATGACAAGCTTGTTCCTCAGTGGGAAGAGATATACAAGCACAGAGCTCAGAGATCTGCCAGGGGACCCATATGCTATAACTCTGTGTAGGACTTGGACCCTCAGACTCCCTCAGATCTCTGTCCCATGTGTCCTCTACCTTCTCTCAGGTGGGGTCCAGTCTTCAGCTATTAAGCACTCTGTCCTTTGCATATGCAAAAGAAAGGTAGGCCATGTTAAATGTGGTTCTTTCTGTGCCCTGAGCATCACTTTCCAACACCCTCCCCTACAGTAGTCCTGATGGCACAGCCCTTCACCATGAACTGGAGCTAGAGAGGCCTCTTCCTGGTGGCCGTGACTGCAGACAAGCTCTCCAGTCCGTCGATTCAGGGGGACCAGGAACATTCAATGAGCTTTTCCATACACTCCTCTCTCCTCTCCATAGTTGTCCACTCCCAGGTGCATCTGGTGCTGTCAGCGGCTGAGGAGAGAAGACCTGAGACCTCAGTGAATACCTTCTGGAAGGATTATGGATACACCTTCATCAGACACTGGATGCACTGGGTATGAAAGGCCCCAGGACAAGTGCTTGAGTTGGTGGAGAGAATCACCCTCATGATAGTGAAATAAAGTACAAACAAATGCCAGGGCAGAGTCACCATAACTGCAGATATATCCATGAGCACAGCCTACCCGGAGCTGAGCAGTCTCAAAGCCAAGGACTTGGCTGTGTTTTACTGCATGATAATCACAGTGGTATGACCAACATGCTGAATGTTTCACAGACCATGACAGGTGGGACGGTTTGGCTGAGCAGAGGAGAGGACAGGGTGATGGGCTTCCTGGCTTCATCACACCCAGTGAAGATCTGAGACCAGGACAGATGCTGCCATAGGCACATCAGAAACTCAGGGAAGGTTTCAGAAGACCAGATACACTGTGGGGAAGAGGCAGAGAAGATGCTGCAGAAAGGGCTCCTGTTGTTTGTTGCGATTGTACAGGGGGCCCATTTGGAGCCTCCTTGTCCTCTGAGTAAAGTGTTTCATTAATGTGCCATCTGGGAATCGCTGGTCAGTGTTACTTCTGGGTATTTGAACAATGTGGTGCCTACCAAGTTCTAGAACATTCACTTATTTGTGGAAACTGGAATTGTGCTTGGGGAAAAGAAAGTACATGAAAGTAAAGGGGAATTGCTATGTTCTTGTCTCTGGCCCAGCATCACACAGGTGACATTCTGAAAGCAAAGTCCAGGTTCTAGGACACTCTATGATATCACAGCCTTCTTTCAGCCCTCCCTCAAGGTGAGCTCTTTTTATCTCACCTAAGATCAAAGCCCTGTGACTGCCCCTGTCTCTGGGCTGGTACTGATGTTATCCCATAGCAGGGAGCAGCATGGGGACACCCCTGACAATGGAAGATCCACATTCAGTCTGTGCTATGTTCATATGTAAACTGATAGAATTATCAAATGCCTGGAACTGCAATTTACATTCATTGTACTCATTCTGTAATCAATAGATAAGTCAAATAATGCTCTTCATCTCATTTATGATTATATACCTCTGCTATTTTCATTAGTGATTTGCATCAAGGTTCTTCATGATCTAATTTATAAAATTTAAACATACTTACTCCCCAATTTCTACAAAAATCTTCAGCTAATCACATCTAGTCACAAATGAGTTTGTTCTGTATCCCAAATGTTTGAACCTGGTTTCACCAGGAAATGCGGGAAATGAAAACTGAGGAAGCAAGATGCTGCATATTCAGCACCAAACTCCACTAAAGAAACATGTACCAGAATCTCTGCCCACTTTTCTGGGAGGTTCACACTCTTGTCTCCCAAAGAAAAACCCAGATGCTCCACCTCCTCCAACCCTGGGTCCACGTGCTCTAGGGTCACACTGTGTTTTGAGCTTATTTGCAGAAGAAATAGGACAGATGGAACTCCCTGTGACATGAACAGGATCCTCCTGCACTTTTAATGCTCCCTGTTGTCGTGGGTATTTAATTTCCTAGGTGTGTTCATTGTTTGAGATTTTCAAAGGCATATATCATTTTGAATACCTCTGGTTTATGAAAGTTTACTTTCCTAGGTTATGTATGCATATCATGGAGCATTTGGGTTAGTAGGGATGGCACAGGCTCAAATGTGGGAAGTAATTGTTAACAGACGTGCACGCTAAAACATGTCACACTCTGAGACCATGTCCTTAATGTCATCATCCAGCCCCAGATCTCCCTATATAGTAGGAGGACATGCAAATAGGGCTCCTCTTCTCATGAAAAGCAGCTGAGCCCTAACCCTGCAGCTCTGGGACAGGGACCCAGCCCAGGATTCCCACGTGTTCTCAGTTCCTGCTGAGGACAGAACACAGACCACTCACCATGGAGTTTGGGCTCAGCTGGGTTTTCTTTGTTGCTGTTTTAACAGGTAATCTCTAAAGGATGGGAAACACTGGGTATGTGAGTGGATGCATCTGAAAGATAAAGTGGACAGGCAAGTGTTACCTGACCTGGTATCTTTGTGTTTGCAGGTGTCCACTGTGAAGTGAAGTTGGTGGAGTCTGGGGGAGGCTTGGTGAAGCCTGGGGGGTCTCTGAGACTCTCCTGTACAGCCTCTGGTTTCACCTTCAGTAGCTACTGGATGAGCTGGATCCGCCAGGCTCCAGGGAAGGGGCTGGAGTGGGTCTCATACATTAGTAGTAGCGATAGTGCATACTATGCCAACTCCGTGAAAGGCCGATTCACCATCTCCAGAGACAATGGCAAGAACGAGATCTACCTACAAATGAACAACCTAAGAACTGAGGACATGGCCGTGTATTACTGTGCAAGAGACACAGTGAGGGGAAGTCGCTGTGAGCCCAGACACAAACCTCCCTGAAGGAGACAAGCAGGTTGGCTGCAGGGATGCTTAGGACACCAGAGGGCGTGCAGAGCACATTGAGTACTGGGTTCAGTACAGGACCAGCTGCAAATGTGCATTAATTGTTGGTTTCCTGGTAGGTGTGGGGTTAATTCTCCACACAGCAGCTTCTACCAGGGAACCTAACTTCCTTCATGATTCTGTGCTTACTTCTTAACTATGTGAATTGCAGAGGCTTGCTATAATAGGAGGAAAACATTTTCACACACACACGAGGCAGAATGTCACAACATTTCCTAAACATTATCCTAATGAATAATAGTTGAATCATTAAATCTTCATGACCCACATCAGTTAAATCCAACCAGACGTTATTCTAGACTCAACAGTACAGACCAGCACCACAAAGCTCAGAGTCCAACAACAAGCCAGCCAGCAACAGACACATGAATGCTGAACAGTGGGCAAAAAGACATATGAGCCCAATGCCAGAGGAAAATTGCCCTGGGGGGAAACAGTGTTGACCTGACTCCATGTTCATGGAGTCAATAACAGTTGACATAATGTAGGTGTAGTGACCCCCACCCTAACTTGGTACAGGTTTCCAGAATGGTGATGTCACACACAAAATGGGACCATGAAATAATTTGTCACTTTATTGTGGAGTCTGTTGAGAGCAGGGCACACTTTTCATCAAATTGGGAATGGCTGTTTAACTTCAGGTAAAGAGCCTCATTCTGGTTTTCATTGTTCATCCTTGACAAGGTAGAAGAGGCTTCAGCTGACAGGATGGGTTTGCATGGTTCTAATCTCACACCTGCATAGAACTAGAGAAAATCAGTGCTTTTTGTACATATTTCTCACCTGTGGAGAGAGAGGAATGAATCTTAAAATTTCAGCATCTAACATGAAAAAAAAATGATCGTTACTTCTTATTCTATCAAATTCCAGAAATCTTAAGTGAAAGCATGAAGCAAACAACCATTGTGGGTGGAAAACAAATTCAACCCCTAGAAAATGAGAATAGTTGTTATTTGTAAGCAACAAAAGGAAATAGTATTAAATTACATGGGCAACTAAGTTCAAAATTTAGGCTGGAACTTGTTCACTATACAAGATATTCAGCTTGCTCTGAATGATTACATCCTTTTTCTTCTTCCAAAGACTAGAAGTTTCCACAAGACTACAGCAATCCTCAGTTTGAGGAGGGCTGCCAGTGTTGCCTTCCAACTGGACAGAAGCATGATTTGATTCCTATGGTATTCTTATGAATGACTATGTCAGTCAAAATCTCACACATTAAAATTTGAGACTCATGTTATGGTGTTAGAATGCCTGGCCTCAGGACAAGAGTTGGTCCCAGGGTGGAGCTCTGATTAACGGAGTCAGAGCCTTCATGAGAGAGGACTGAGGGAAGCTGCCTTGCCCCCACCTATGCTCTGAGATTAGAGTGAACAGCCATCTAGAAAGTGGATTCTCACCTGTCACCTAAACAGTCAGCATCTATTCTTGGATTTTTCACATCCAGATCTTTGAGTAATAGATTTCTTTTCTTCACCAATGTCTCAAGCCATAGGACTTTGTTACAACAACCAGAATGCACTAAGACTGTAGTGTAACATGATCACACGGGTTGACTGTCTAGTTGCACTGCTGTTTGTGTTGTAAAAGGTACCTCATGGGTGTTCTTCCAGTGATGTTCCAGGGCAGTGTTTCTCTGTTATTTTATTCCACAGATAAAAATTTTCTGATTGGAGACTCCTAGACAGATGTAGCAGGAAGGTAGCAGTAGAAGTAGGTTTAATCCATGAACCCTTTCAGTATTTACCACATCAGCATAAAGTGAGGTTGCCCTGGAGGTGAAATCTGTTGTTCTCCCAGTCACCATGCACAGGGACATGACTGATGTGTGCTTGAAGGTGTGGACAGGAGAAACACTCATGTAGATCATTGGCCAAGCTTGTTAATGGCTTCTCTTAGGTTTGATCATTTTAACTAAGCATCCCATGTTTTCAAACTTCCAAGATATTTTATATAATAGTGACAGTGTGGCATCTGGATAATAGTATCTGCTTACATCTTAACGGTTTTCTGTGGTGTGCATGTCAGTCACTTGAGGTGACAGTTGGTAAGTCATTGGATGCAGAAAGGGAGCTGGCTAAGCACAAAGTATATCCAGGGCAGTTTAAAAACTCTACATGTGTTTGCTCCTTCTTTCCACTCCCTTTGTCAACACTGATGGCCTCTTAGTGCACAGATGCACAATTGGCAGAGATTCTGTCTTGAAAGCACAAAGAGCAGCCCTTGCAGTGACCACTGACCTCATACCCAAGATGCTGACAATGGGGGCAGAATCTCCTTCTGTGTGTCCACACACGGACAAGGTTGCAAAGGGAATTTATTCTGAGGTGAATAGCATGAAACATTGCACATATGAAATATAACAGTGAATTAAATTGTGTTAAGCTGATCGGTGGTAGAAATTATCAACAACAATAACTTTATGGCACACAGACTAATCATCCTCTTATAAAGTTCCCTTTGTCACAAAAAAGAATGCTTGTCCCTTTGAGTCGAGTAGGGTCTCTTACCCATGGACTTCACTTCTCTGTTCCTAATTATAGGACTAAATGTAAGTGGGGTACTCCATGTGCTGACAAACCCAGCCCCACTATTGTCCCTGCACCTGAGAGAGCAGCCCTAGCTCCTGAGTCTCTGCTGTTTGCACTCACTTCAGCAGTTAACACAGAGGAAGCACCATGAAGTTTGAGCTGAGCTGGGCACAAATTCTTGTGTTTTACACGTAACATTATGAATAAAGTGGGGCTTGAGTGTGTGAATGTGTGTGTACTTCAAATGAGAGACTCTTGTCTACAGGTGTCTGATGTAATGTGCAGCTGATGGAGTCTGAGAGGTACCTGAGATGACCTGCTGGAATCTGAAATTCTCTTGCAAAGGCTCTGGATTCAGATTCAGTGACTATTCTATAACCTGGATCATCCAGCCTCTAGGAAAGAGACTGGAGTCTGGAGGTGTTACTATAAAAAAAACTAAAAGTCACACAACAGAATACACTGCATTTGTGAAAGTCAGTTTCACCATTTCAAGTGATTATTTTAAAAGCACTTCTTATCTTCCTCTAAAGCAAGGGATATAAAGGAACAAGTAAATGAATGGGACCTTATCAAATTAAAAAACTTCTGCATGGCTACAGAAAACAACATTAAAATGAAAAGACATCCAACAATATGGGAAAGCATATTAGCCAATGATACTTTGGACAAAGTTCTTGTCTTTAAAATATATATTAAAAAAACTCATACAGCTCAACTCCAGGAAGAGAAAAAATTCAATTAAAAAAGGGACCAAACACTTGAACAGACACTTATCCAAGAAGGACACACAGAAGGCCCAGAGAAGTATGAAAATATGCTCAAAATTACTAGCATCGGAAAGATGAAAATTAAAACCACAATGAGATAACACTTCACACTGGTTGGAGTAGCCATAATAAACTAATCAACAAAGAAGTGTTGGATGGGATGTGGAGAAAAGAAAACCCTAGTGCACCGTTGGTGGAACTGCAGGTCGGTGCAGCCACTGAGGAAAAGAGTATGGCATATACTAAGAAAACTAAACATGGAACTGCTTTTTGACCCACTGATTGCACTCTAGGGATTTGAACCCTGAAACACCGATCCAAAAGAACTTATGCACCTCAATGTTTGTAGCAGCACAATTTACAATATCCAAATGCTGGAAAAAATCTAAATTCCATCAGTAAATGAATGGATCAAAAAACATTAGTACATTTACCCAAAGGAGTATTATGCAGTAGAAAGAAAGAAGGGACTCCTACCTTTAGTGACAGCATGGATGGAAATGGAGAGCATTATACTAAGTGAAATAAGCCAGGCAGTGAGGAACAAATACCACATCTCATCTTTAACTAGTGTGCCTTGAACTCAATCAGCAACAGAAAAAAGCAAGAAAAATATAACCAGAGACATTGAAATTAAGAACAATCTGACAGTAACCAGAGGGGACATGTGAGGGTATAGTGGGGGAAGAATATTCAGGAACCCTTCCACTATAAAAGATATATGGACAAAACCAAAGCAGGGTTGAAGCAAGGGAGGGAGGTTGGTTTTGTGGGGGTAGAATGGCAATGGGTAGAGAATGCAGACAACTGTAATTGAACAATAATGAAATAATTTAAATTAAAGAAATCACTGCTTATCTACAGATGAACAGCTAGAAAGCTGAGGACACAGCCATGTATTACTGAATGAGACACAAAGAGATGAAAACTCAATATGAGACAGGACTTACAACTTACAGCAGGAGGAGCTGTGACCATCGATGGGCACTGAGCATCTCTGAATAGGGACAAGCACAGGAGCAGCTGCAGGTGGAGGGTTGGGCTGGTTTCCCATGTGGTTTCCTCTTCCTGTAACAGTTTCCCTCAGGCAATGTGTCTAGATTTCTGATTCTCTGCTTCCCTTTTAATTCTCTGAGTTAGAAGTGTCCATTGTAGAGACAGACAGCTTTGTCTTATGGACAAGAGGCAGAGTCATTTTCAGACACTCTTGTGTCCAATTCCAATGAATAATCGACCCTTCTGATCCTTGTAGTTGAATATAAGCAGAGGCTGGGCTGGACCCAACAGTGTGGCACAGTCCCACAAAGCTCAGTTTCTAAGGTGGCCAGCTGAAGGACACATGCCTACTAGGCAGTGTTCAGCAGAGCATATGGACCAACACCAGGGAACAAAAGATGGTTAGTGGTGATGGTCATTGACTTGCCATCATGCTCACAGCACCATGTGTAGGTCATGTCATGCAGAAGCAGATTGACCCACAAACTTTTGTGTGAATGCCCAGGCTCATGAAAAACACAAACCAAAGGGACATAGAATATTTATCACACACATAGTTGAAATCTCTGGGAAGACCAGGAAGACCAGGAAAAGTACTTCACCAAGGTAAACATGATTTAATGGCACCAGAAAAAGAAAC